GCTTGAGGCTCTGTCTCAAAAAATAAATAAATATCATTTCAGTTTGGTACTATTTAAATGATTTCTCTTTTCACAACCTGTCACTTTATGTTTGCCTGTAGCTGTGACGTTCCTTCTTTTATCTGTTATGGACTCAAAATCCAGATAATTAGAGAACTGAAGGCTCAAAATCGCAACCAAAGCTTCTCCTTTGGATAAAGAGCACACACTTCAGAGCATGGGATTTCGGATGCCTCTTTCGGCTGACACAGAGCTAGCTTGTGTATTTTTGTTGTCATTCCTATTCCAGATGTAACATAGTATTTATTGGACATTTTAGATAAGGTACTCACAACGTGAAATGTGGCTTTGTCACTGGGAAGGGAAAAAAAGGCAGCATCAGACATTTGACCACAAACTGGTGACATCAGAAATAGCCATCTGTTCTGAACATGGTTAGTGGGGCTGCATAATGTACTTGACATTGCAGTAGCACTTCAGACAACAGCACAAAGAGGCAGAGAACTTGAGTTGTCTTACAAGGAGTTTGCCGAAAGGAAGTAAAGTATTCAGAGCTACACTTAGCGTTCCTTCCGAGTATCATCGTGAAGCTGAGGTCAGCAAACTTTTCCTGTAAAGGGTCAGACAGTAAATAAATATTTCAGTTTTTATGGCCCTATGGTTTCTGCTCAACTACTCAACTCTGCCACGGGAGCCGGAAAGTGGTCATAAATGATAGATGAACAAATAGGTGTGGCTGCACACCAACAGAACTTTCTTAATGGACAATGAAATTTGATTTTCATAAAACTTTCATGTATCAGGAAATATTATTTTTCTTTTGAAAATATAAAAGCCGTTCTTAGCACAGGCAAGTGGGCCAGATTAGGCCCCAAAGCCAGAGTTTCCCCATCTTGTTCTTTGCTAAAAGCTCAATAACTCGTCAGGGGGGTTTTTTGTTTTTGTTTTTGTTTTTGAGATGGAGTGTCTCTCTGTCATCCTGGGTAAGTGCAGTGGCATTATAGCTCACAGCAACCTCAGACTCTGGGGTTTGAACAATCCTCTTGCCTCAGCCTCCCAAATAACTGGGACTATAGGCCTAGGGCACTACGCCCAGCTAGTTTTTCTATGGTTATTAAAGAGGGATCTAACTTTGCTCAGGCTGGTCTCCAACTTCTGAACTCAAGTAATCCACCTGCTTCAGCCTCCTAGAGTGCTAGAATTACAGGCAGGCAAGAGCCTCAATAAGTATTTGTTGAGGGTAACAACACATTTCCCCTACTGAAAACACTCTAAATATTAAGGCTCAATCCAGCACCCCATTAAATATTAAGGATCAATCCAGCATCCCATTACCTCTGCCCACTTTCTCCTTGAAAACTACAGTGATGTGGCGGCAGCGCCCTCCTCGACTTGATTAAAACAAGACAAATAAGTTCCTTTACTGGACACTTTTAATAAGAGTTTCAAAGTATATTTTCATAAACGTAAGGTAGGCAACCCTTGACTAGCGTACAAATGACAAGTAGCAACTGAGCTGTCATATAGCACTCATATCTGCAAAGCAGCAAAAGATACTGACAGCTTCTATATCGTATGAATACAAAAATTATATTTTTACCAAAAAACCCATTTATCATCATGATATCGCCTTGCTTAGGGGGATGAATAAAGAAGCAAAGTTACAGTAAACCAACATCACAAACTGTTTTTAAGTATGGATGGCGCTGCCCAAAGTTTTAGACAGTACTAAAGGTAAGTCCAATAAAAATTATTTCTTATTCCCCAAGTATGACCTAGACATTATTTCTTCGATCTTTGGGGGTAGGGGCGAAATCACAGCACAACAGTTATGTGAGAAATACAATAGTCTATAATACTTTCTTACTTTTACACCATTCTTCCTTTTAAAAAGCTCAATTCCTATGTAGATGTTGCTGTATCCTTTTTAATCAAAAGTGATAACGTGTAGGGCACACTACCCCAATATATGACGCTTTGGCATTTGAAAAAAATAGCAGAAGCTGGAAGGTCATTCTCACCTTCCCCTACACTTCCCTTACATAGCAGGCTGCAAAAGGATTCTCTACTGAAAAAGATCCTCATTCCAGGGAACCCACTCTATATACCTGGGGAAAAGATATGTCTTCATTCTTGACAACAGAGATGCCAGGAAGAATCTAAACAGACAGGCCTTGTCCATCCCCCCAGCTTATGACCTTGAGATGGTACCTACTGTCCTCCAATTATACTTCTGCATAACCACAAAAAGGCACAAACTTCCCAGTTTCTTTGAGTCTTTTTTTTCTGAAGGCTCTCATGTCATATAAAAAACTTAGGATTTTCTCTTATTCATCTGTCTTTTATTTATAGGTGTGTCAGTCATGAACTTTACGAGGCATGAGAAATCTTTGCTTCCCTACCAGAAGAAGTAAAGAGAAACTAAAATTGTTTGCTGGAAATAATTCACCAAGTCCTGGGCAGAAGAGAGAACAAGGACAACATTTTGAATTACCCACCTAAGCCTTCTTCCTAATAGATCATGAAGATGTCATCCAGCTCCTTCCAGAAATGGAAGCTTGTACTTTCTGGGATGAGGAGATCTGACATAAATGCACTCAGGGACCTATAATACAATCGTGACCACCAATATCTCCATTTTTGTAATGACTATCATTACCATTCTGGACAAATCAAAGATGAACCCTGTGACAATTATTTCAGGGATTTACCACCAACAAGGATAGGAGAGTTTTTTCAAAGAAGCACAAGTCTAAGATCCAGCTAAAAGAGAAGCAATTCTGATTCCTTTGAGTTGTCTGGTACTTTTCCAGAAATGAAAAGTGATGAAGTATACCAGCTTTACTCTAAAAATCATCTGATCTTCTGCCACAAAACCATCATTTTGAGGCCATAAGGAACATCAAATGTGTCAAAAGTGCACCAGTACAAAACCAAAAGAAGAGTATCTCGGATTCAGAATAGTTTCATTTGTGTAACAAGAATTCCCTGATCTGCTAATTTTACAAATCAAGAGGGACCTTGTCCATTTAGTTTATCCTTAAGCGCCCCTTGCACTGATTTCCTAAATGAACTCTTGTTTTGCGTGAATACAGACTTTCTCAGGAACTACAACACAACCTGAATACCAATAGTAAGACATCCCAACTCTACCCCTCCTTTTTCTTTAACCAGAACAGAAACTTCTCCTAATTCAAAAAAGGGGAATTTATGTGTTGAATAGGCAAGTATTTCCCAGATCTGTTTATTCAAGACATAAATTATTTTTTTGGCATTCAAATAGGTACTTGCCATGTTAATAATTTACCCATACATGAGCGTCACCAGTGATAAAAACCCCACCCACGGAGAGCAAACTTGTCCTTTTCCTGATAACACTGTTGTTATTTTTGTTCTAGCTTCGAAACATCCTTAGTAAAAAAAATACTGAAACCATTCTTTAAAATGTTTACCCCCAATGCTGTGACCCAGTTGTAAACTTTCTGTAGCCCAGTGGAAACACTTCTGCAGAGAGTGAATGACCGTCCATCTAGCACACACGCTCCAAAGGGAAGGCCCAGTGACGTCTCAAAGAAATGAATAACAGAGAGCCAGGCAAAGACCACGGACGCAAAAGTTGTCCAAACAGAAATTCAAGAGTGGTGTTGGCCAAGAAGCAGACATTCTTAGCAAAGTGAGATAACAGGATTGTCTTATTTCCGGATACCTTTAACACAGTTTAAACACCACAATACAAGCTAGTTCAACTTCTACTTAATCCAGGGCAAATTTACATCAGTGTAGTAATTCATCCCAGACTTTTGAATCATGGTTTCACTCCATCTACCTTGAACAAAATAATTACCCAAACAATCAGCTAGGTGTAGCTCAGAGGGGATAAATACACCCTGGGAGGTGAAGGGCGGGGGGGGGGAAGCAGGAGGGTTGGAGTCACTCTCGAAACACATACTCACCGGGAAAGGTGGGGGTGGGGCGGGCACAGGGAAATCCAAGGCCCGGAATCCCGGACTACACGGGCAAGTAAGAGTAAGAAGGGGGTGACCTTGTGCGCGCCAAGATAAACCGTTCCAAAGACTGGATCTCATAAATAAAAAGAAGAGACTGACCAGCTGGCACCCGCAGTCAGGGTGCGTGCCCCCGAGCTCCAGCACGGAAAGCTCGCCCTCCATTCATCAGCTTACACGGCCACCAAGCCTCGGGGCCCGCGCGGCCTCTTCCTCCTGCTAAGGACACTCCCCCAGCGCCCAGCAGAGGAGCAGTGCGGTACGCGCCGCTCCGCAAGTTTAAGGGGGAGCTTCGCACACCTGAAGTTGAGAGAACTGCCGAGTCAGGGTGCCCGTTTTGTCAGATCACGGGCAATCGGATGCTCCCTTCGGCCCCCCACCCCTCCTCCTACTCTTAACCATAAACCGGATCGGCCTGTCAGCGCAGAGGTCACCTGCGAAGTGCAGTGATGTCACTCGGCTACCCCCCAAACTGCCTCCAAGCTACAAGAGAACGGAAATAATTGGTGCATGATTAAAAGAGAAAGGCACACTCCAGAAGGTGACCCTTGAAAGGGTACCGTTCCACTGTGCCGCGTTGGGATGGGGTCAGGAGGAAGGTGAGCGCCCTCGGAGCACAGGGTGGTTTCCATCGTCCCACTGCCTTGCCGCTCGGCGGCCAGGAGGCTACAAATTCAAGCGCCTTGAAGTATTACGAAAAAGGAGCCCCTGCAGGGTCCCAGGCCGAAAGGTTTAGGGACCACTTCCCCGGAGTTACGCGCGGCGGCACCCAAGGCATCCTCCGAGGGCCACCTCTCCGGCTTCCGGCTCCGCGGAGCCCGCCCAGCGGGGTCACCGCAGACGCCGCACCGGGAGGGGCAAGGGCGCCGGCGGGGGTCGAGGGTCTGGAGCGCCGCGGAGCGAGGTGGGCGGGGGCGCCGGGCCCCGGGTGGCCGGAGTGGCAGGGCCGGCGGGCCCCGGGCCGGGGCCGGGGTGGGAGTGCGGCGGGCCTCTTACCTGTGGTGGAGAGCACGGTGCTGGCGAAGAAGAGCGCGGAGGTGAAGTCCCAGTTCCAGTTGCCCGAGGCGTTGCTGAGCACCGACACGCCGTAGTTGCTGGCCTCCAGCACCCGGCCCAGGAACTGCTCCAGCTGCTGCTCCGACAGACACTCGTGCTCCTCCAGGAAGCGCCGCTTCAGCTTGCGCAGCTCCTGGCGTAGCAGGTCCTCGTAGGGCAGCTCCACCGAGGAGAAGACCACGGCGCCGAAGACCAGGTAGAGCAGGTAGCCGAGCACCAGGAAGCCGAAGCACCAGGCCGAGCGGTGCCGCTCCACCAGGCGCACGCACGAGCTGCCGGCCAGGGACTGCAGCATCTTCGCCGCCAACGCCGCCAGCGCCGCCGCCGAGGCTGAGCCGCAGACCGGCCGGAGCGCGGCCCGCCGCCCCCGCCGCCCGCGCCGATCCCGCCCCGGCCCGCCCCGCTCCTCCGGCAGCGCAGGCCCCCTGCGATTGGCTCACTCCAGCGGGATTTCTCGTCCTTCTTTTCCTGTTTCTCTGCAATATAAAAAGCCCAGATGATGTGGCGCTGACGTGGTTGCCGGCTCAGGTAACCAGAGAGTCAGCGGAGACCGCGCGCAAACTTGGCCCGAGCACCCGGGCCGCGCTGCCGTGGCCCCGGGCGCCCCCGCCCTTCGCTCGGTCCCGCGGGGTGCGGCGGGGCTCGGTGCGCCCAGACCCTTTAGCTCGGCCGGCCCCGGCTTCTCCCGCTCTCTCCCGGGTCCGGTCACCCAACCCGAGCGGCCCGCGCGGTGTGTGCGCGCGCGCGCTCCCGTGTCGCGCGCTCGCGTGTGGTCGGGGCCAGTTCGCGCACTGAGCTGGCGCGTCCAGCCCGCGGTCTGAGGTGCTCCTGCCCGGTAGGTCTTTCCTCCTAATCAAAGCCTAAATGTTCCAAAATAGCGAGCGCCGAAATACTTTCCTTCTGTGTCTCATTGGCTGGAGGGCTGAGCAATCCGGTGCCAATGACAGTGGTGAAATTCGAGAACTTCGGAGCGGAAGGCCCCTGGGATCAGGAAAGTCTGTTCCCTCCCGCCCACCTCTCACCAGGGAGAGTTTCAGAAGGGTCCTGTTTCTGAGCGCGAGTTCTCTAAAACAGGACCTTAGGTTTTATGGTGAAGAAATGTCCCGGGGTGTCAACCCCCAGGAGAAACAGGAGTCTCAGTTGTTTCTTTTTAGGGTGACCAAAATGTTGACAGAGGTCGGCGAACTGCCTTATCGTGGGTGAGAGTGAAAATGAGCGCACCCTTCTGGAAAGGCAATTTTGCCATACCTGTTTCCAGAGGTTTAACAGTTTGTATTCCAATTCAATGACA